CTGAGACAAAAATCAAACTCAAACTCAGTTTTCCTAATGTCCATATTCAAGCTATGGGATGTCTTTGACAGGATGGGATTATTTTAGTTGGAGGGTATTTCTTCCTGCCCAAGTTTTGCTCCCAATTTGTCACTCTGATTTCTATTTGGACCCATCCCCCTTTATTACTTTTGCAGATTTCTCAACCAGTTTGACAGAAAGAAGCTGGATACTGTCTTTATCTTGCAGGATAAACTAAATTGAACTAACTAAAGGGTTAGTTCATCTTTGAACTTCTGTGGTTTTTTCCCCTGGAAAAACTAAGCCAAATCAGTCACACCTGGTAGAGAAATTGGACTGATCATTCCAGTAAACACTACATGTGCCAGTAGCTGTAACTTTCATTTTCCAAGCAGCAGAGAGATTAAGCAAACAAAGCTGCAGCTATTCAGACTGTTTGTCTCATTAGGAAAGAGAAAAGTCATTTGTTCAAAAATACATTGAACTTCTACAGCAGCAGCTGTCTGCAGTGAAACATGGGATACATTTTGCTTTTGCTCTGAAACTTGCCTATTCTGATTCATAATTTCCATGCACAGAGTGACAAAGTGCTGACAGAGGATGCAGGAAGCAGTGGGCTAACGCTGCCAGCTTCACGCTTACCACGTGCATGGCTGTGGTACCTGACCTGCTTACTGAAAAGGTTTTAGTAGTGCCAGTGATAATTTGGGACTCCTTCTTCCTTTTTGTAATAGCCATGATGTATGCATTTCTCATTAAGGCTGCTGGGAGCATGTGAGGAGGATGCTGACAGGAGTGACAGTTTTATTTGCCCACTGCTCAGTGCAGCATCCTTCATCTTCCCAACACAGCCCTTGTCAGGCTTTTCTGCCACAAAAGTGTGACTGAAAAGGAATCCTAAGGAATTGGTTCTCCTTGCAAACTAACCCCCCAAACCCAAAGAAGGATCTAAGGACTTAAGAAAAAAAAGAACACAGACTTCTTTTGCATTCAACCAGAAACTGTTTTCAGTTAGGTAAACAACTCCACAGAACAACAGAGACTGACACTATCATGAAAGCCAGTTCAGAAGTTGAACCTGCATTAAGACCATATTTCTTCCTCGAGAAAAAAGCTGCAATTTATGAATTTTATTTTTAAGAGCAATTTCTTTTTATCATCCACTTGGGGCAGAGATTGTGACAATATTTAACTGATACCTTTCTTTTTTTTCCTCTTTGTGGTATCCCAGCATATTGCTCCTCTAGACAATCTCTAGACTTGTAGTTTCTTTAAAGACATTGAAGCCAGTGGTAAAACTTCCTGAAAACCAATAGAACGCCTTTCCAATATAACTGTATGTCACACCTCTGTGGATTAGACTCCTGTATGAAATACCATATTTGACTGACTTTTACAATTTGCTCACGTTTATTTTGTATTATCTATGCAAAACAATATTGTGACAAAAATGTGGTAATGAAATTATTCTGGAAATAGATTTTCTCTTAAGATGTCAAAACTATGGGATATATGTAAACAAAGTTAACTTGCAAAAAAAAAATCAAATACAGTAACTAGGCAGAATCAACACATGCTTTTATTTCCATTGCATATAAAATTTCATATGAAGGTATCGATGTACAGTACTATCCCATAGGCTGTAAAGAGAGGCTAAGAAACCAGTGAAAGAATAGCCATGTGCAATGTTCACACAAGTTGCCACTCTCAAGACATCCCCAAAGAAAATATTGAATTAAAACAGTAACAACAAATTGTTCAAGATTTCTGTTGTTATAGTGTCCCTTTTATACCATATAAAACAAAAGCATTCAATTTCCTTTGGGCCAGGGCTGCTAAAATCTACAGTTTGTGTCAAAAAGGAGATCCTATTTTTCCTTGAAAAGGACTCTCCTTTTATGAAGAAGTCACAAGTTATGAGGGCTGGGCATCACTGGAATGGAGGAGAGGTATTTACCTTACTCTGGCACATTCAGTGATACCAGCTCTAAATAGCCTGGAGCAATGTGACAAGTCAAACAGCAAGAGATGCTCAGTCCAACCTGCAAATCTAATAGTAGTGTTATTAAAACATCTAACTGTTTACCGCTCTTCTGCAGAGCTAGTGCATTATGCTACACACACCTGTACAAAGCCTTAGCTACACCTATATAAAATAAAACTTTGGCTACTAGTAACACTAATATTGGTGTTGGAAAGCATTTCCAAGACTGAAACTGTCTTTTGTGCTACTTTATGGACTCTGCTTATACAGTGATAATTTGTGCTACTAAAGAAGAGACATTACAGACAATTGTAAAAGTGTATGAGTTATACCCTTTTAATTCTGATTATTCCATTTCTCAATATGAATTGAAATCAAATGCTTATCAGAGATGCTTTCCAAAGCTGTTTCAGTGCAACACAGTACTGAAATGCAGCATCATTTATTTTGTTAGGAACAAAAAACGTCTGCAATAATCCCCAATGACAGGCTGTAAAAAGATAATAAGAGAGACAATACAATTACATTACCAGAAGTCTGGAAAAGCTCGAACTTCCAGCAGGGTCAAGAATGAACGTTTATTGTAGTATCACATATATTAGCTCATAAGAGTATCCCCCATCAGTTAGCAACTAAAAATACGGTAGAAATGCCCAGCCCTAGCCCCAAGGCTACCTTACTTTCCAATGCAGCAAAACAAGACAATATTGTTTAAAGTTAAGGCACAGCCCTGGGACCAAAGACCTGAAGCTTTTTAAATTTATATATCTTTACGTATTTTATACTTTTCGTGAATCTTCCATAAATGAGCTCTATGGTGACACTGAATATATTACAGGAGAAAAAAAATGTACAAGGAATATGTATACACAATAATCATTCTCTCACCAAGAGTTTCCAAATACAGCAACACCACCCTCACACGGATGATGTTATAATAAGAACTGATAATTTACAATTAACATTACAGTATGTACATTACAATAAATACATGGTTGTAAACAGAGACAAACAAGACTGTATTACAGGTAAGGTCATTTGGTGAGAAAAATGCATGGCACAGAAAATAAATAATGCATTTGAAAGAACTGTCAAAGCTTTCTATAAAATCTATCTCATTCAAGTTTTTTAAACTTCTGAATGCTATTTGTTCTATTGATATTCTTTCATTATCATTTTTAATGACACAAAACAATTTAAGAATTTAAATACAGCATTACTGAGTACAGCAACTTGCAAGCTAAAGTGTACTGTTATAAACAAGGTGGTTTTTCTTTTTTTTCCTCCCACTCATTACTCGCCCACAGCATTTTCTTATGGCAAAATATTCACAACACATAAAGCCACTCGTAAATTGTATTGTTTTAAAGCAGTGTACAATGCTAAAACACACTTTGGCAAAAGAGAAAAAAAAGATTGTACAGTGCGTTATATCCCCAACTCTAAGAAATTATATCATTTTCTATGATTTGATTGTCCACATGTATAGGTGTATATTTCACAATACGGTCTTATGTCTATTTACTTTCAATTAGTGCAGTTACAAAACCTTCCAGGTCCTACGGGTTATTCTGGAATTTATATTGCTTTTGCATTACTGAGGTTCCAGGCACTCTAGGGGACTTAAAGGAGTTTTAGATGGATCAGGTTCAGGAAGAAATAACAAAGAAAAAAAGATTAAAAAAAAAAAAAGCCAAAGCATGAAAGAAGCCCCATGAATTATCTTCATTCTTTTTCCTCCTTCAGCATCTTCTGTGCTAAGGCCCTGTGAGGGCTAATGGTAGAGAAAACTACGACCTGGACACAGAAGAATGCAAAATGCATTTAACAGCTGAATAATTAGCATTTTGAAAGAGGCTTTTATTCTAGATCTCTGACACCTTAAACCCCCTGTATTCATATCTGCAAATTTGCTACAAAATGAATCCAAAGGAAAAATAATGGCTGTTGCTATCATCTTTTGTTAAGAGATTATCTTGATAGTGTAATTTCAAAAGAATTTTACAGTGTTGGAGTTTGCTCGCCTCCCTATGCAACTATTTCCCATCTTCTACACTCAAAACTACAATTTTAGTCAAGAGTAAAGTGTAGGAAATAAATTTTTTTTCTTCTTTTAATGTGAAGAAACAACAGGACTGGAAAATGTCAAATACGAACTCCCTACCTCCCTTTAGCTTTCCAAGTTATGAAAGCTTTTATACCAATCAAACTGAAAGGCAGGATTCCCTTAGCACAAGCTGGATAAAGGTTGAAAATATTTAAGATTGAAATAATATGGCATAAACTACAACTCTGATGATGCATTGCTCATTTACTTAAAACACAAAAAGACAAGACTGGCACAGCTCTTTTTGCAACAAAGACGTGACAAAATAATACTAATTATTATTTTTATGTTTACACGTCTCAGATTAGCAAATGGTTTAACTAGATAGCTACCCAGATTAAAAGTTGCTAAGTCAAAATTTGAAATATTACACTAATGCTTTTTTCACCAGAACAAATATTCCATACATTGTAATAGCCTGTTCTGATTTAGCAGTCTGTCTTTCCCAGCTAAAAATAGTCTGAAACCCCATGTTTCAGGGGAAAAAATTTATCAGTATAGCAAGAGAGCTGCTTTTGTACTGATGACAATTCATTACTCTTTTTACAGGCTCAGGTTCTGTAAATCTTAACGTTAGTGGCTGTAGTTGGTATCAACAGGACCACTTCTTGTGGTAAGAGAGAACTGGCAGGATCAGGTCACTATGAGGGCAAGAGCACTATGTAAGTCCACTAATACATTTGGGAAAATTGTGATGAAAAACAAAGAAACAAACAAAAAAAAGCTATTATACAAAAAAATGTAACACAAAGGATATTCCTGGAACTCACTAATATATAAAATAGACTTTTACAACTCAATAATACCACAAGATTCTAAGGTAAAAATAACAAAACCAAACCAACCAGCCAAACAAAAAAACCCAAAACAAAACAAAAAAATGAACAAAAAAACAACCAAACAAAACCCCAAACAAACAAAAACCACAAAACCAAACAACAAACAAACAAAAAACCTCAAGCAAAAAAAAAAACCCTAGAAGTATTATCCAGTGTAGCACAGATCTGTATTGAAAACTTGCAAGTTCCTCTTTGGAAAAAAAATAACCCTTGTCAGACGAAAGTGGTTTGTTTTTTTAATATAATACCTTGGTACACTTAATAAAAGTAAGCTCTACAAAAGGTCTCTCACATATTATACAAAATGGAGAGGTTAGTGCAACCCACTGGGTCACACTTTTTTCAGTCATGTCTCAGGAAGACTTGAAGTTAGAAAATTATGCAATTTTCACAGCTCATCTTCCTGTTGGTAACAATCATGTTGTGTCCCATCATTTACATGAATTTGTTTTCCAGTAGGAACCTCAATTTGTTTTCTATCTGTTTCCTCTCAAGATGAACATTATGCAATGCTTTGCTTGCAAAATACAATGAATTCAAAAACTATCAAAGCACACCAGCATTTGGTTGCAGGTGGTACTCCTCTGAAAATATTTGCTTTATTTAAGTGAATCTGCCAAATGCAGAGCTTATTAAAATGTAGTTTATGGATGTTCTCCCCCTGCTTTCTGATGCCACTGAGGTGAAAATTCTGGTTACGATATTCCTGAGTGCCAAACTGAGTCATCAATGTCAGTTTTGATCAACAATTGTCCTGGCAGATGACAGCAAGTTGTGACCATGGTTGTAGTATATGACACACACTTTGGAAACCACTACCTAAATTAAAAAAAAAATATCCAAAACAAAACGAAAAAACTCAGAGAGAAAGAGGAAAAGAAAGGGAGAGAGTATAAGAGAGAAAGAGACTGCATTTTCATTGTTACGTGTCAGGAGAATGATCTTCGACCACACAGGGTTCTGTTTGGTTCTCCTCCTCTTCTACTTCTTCCCCTACTTGCTCATCAAGAGGAATTTCAGTGGATTCTGAATCCTGGGTGCAAAGAGTCTTGGAGTCACTGAAGCTGGTGTCTTCTTCTACTTGACTTCCACTGTCCTTTTCAGTGTCTGATTCACCATCTTCCTCCAGTGTTAGTTCAAACTGAAATTTCTCAGTTTGACCCTGCCTTCCCTCTTCCTGGTCATCAGGTGCAGGAGAGGGACTTCGAGGGATTGTGCTCTGGTACCATTCTCGATTGTCCTCCAGTGTATCTAGGATATCCTGGGCATCTGGGTGAACAAGATCTGCCCACGTCTCCCACAAAGGATGAACAATGTAGTCTATAAAACCCACCTGTTTCAAATAATAAAAAAATATAATTATTAATAAATAATTATGCTTATAAGTCATGCAAAGTATGAGAAATAGAATGCTATTAAGAGACACTGTACGCATCACCCTTAAAGTTGGCTGACAGGAAACCATACCAGTTTATGTAGTAAATAAAGTCTTTTACATTTCAAAAGTCTGATTCAGGATATTGGATAAGAACTTGGAAAGGATTTGTTTTCAAGTGAACTGTTCAATCCAAATAACTGTACTGCATCTAGTCAGCCAAACAGCTGCTTTATACATAATTCTCATTTTGAATGAAACCCTAGTGAGCAGCTGTACAATAATCTCTTTTGATGCGTATGCTGCATTGCAAGTCATGACACTGATGGAATCCCTTCAGCAAATACAGAGATGCACTATGTTTTCATAGTAAAAATCTCAGTTCCCTGCACTTACTACTCAGGAGTTGATTTAATTAACTCAGTAGAAAAAAGGAAATAGTGCATTCAGAAATTATTCAAAACATGGCTATGTACCATCCTTTTCTGTCAAAATGTTTATGTGCCTACTGAAATCAATTACCTGTGATTTTTCTACAGATGCATTGTGCTTATCACACATGGGACTTATCTCCATTCCCCTCTCTCTTTCCCGATCTCCCTGACGGAAAAATTCCTCCATTATTCTGTCCGTCCATTGGCGGTAGAGATGGAGCGGCTTGGTTGGATTGCTTAGATCTGCACAGTGCACCATATTCTGAAGAACCTGAAATAGATTGAACACATTGTGGTGTTATTACACTGCAGAATAGCAGCTCCCTTTCCATTTACACTTCTGGTGACTCTGAAACCTTCTTGAAAATGTAGTAAAAGATTTATTCTAAACAGCAAGACCTTATGTGCTTGGGTGTTTTTCACATTTGCAGTAACAGCCATGAATTACCTTGCTTCTGCTGATCCTGGCCTGTATAAAGGCCAGGATATCTTTCTGAGAAAGACAATCACATGCTGATAATTTGAAGGGAAGGCCAAAATTTCATTCAGTTCAGAACTACTCTAGCACTTCATTGTTCTCTCAGAGAGTCACTCAGACCATGACATAGTTAGGAAACAGAGGGAAGTAGCAAGTCATGGTGCGAGAGCACATAGCTTATCTAATTCATGCTGGAGAATGGGGAAGCCAATGTTATTAAGTTTGTAAATTAATACAAGTGACCAATTGCAGATGAATTTTCTTACCTGAATCCTGTCTGAATAGTTATCAAGAAGTAGAACACCAGAACTGGTCACTTTTTTAGTTTCAACCATAGTTTTTAGATCAGCCAGTAGATTCATATGCTTAGACATATCTGTTGCAAGGACCTTGAAAGAAACAAACAAAAAATGAACACTATGTAAATTATTCTACTGTGTTTTTTGGTGTGTGTGTTTTTGGTTTTTTTTTTTGTTTTTTTTTTTGTTTTTGTTTGTTTTTTTTTTTTTTTAAAAAAAAACTTTGAACATTTAAACAAACAGTTTTTGGAGGAACCCATAACTTTTGTGTCTGAATACAAGCTAAAAAGCTGAGCCATGTAAGTCACTTGTGTCCGTAATAGTACGTTTTCCTTTTAGTTACTTTAAGACTATGATAAAATGATTGTTCAGAATTGTTCAAAATGATCTGGTCAGCCAAGATTCACCATCAATTCAGTATCAAATTTCTTACTGTGATGGTGGAATGACATACATGTCAGTATAAAACCAGCTTGAAACGGAATTGTATACCTTCTAAAAATATTATTCGATGATTACTGAAACTTAAAGGAACCCACTGTTCATGTTTGGATATCACATGATAAAAATTCAAACTTTTACTTCATTGTTTACATGCCTAATTTATCATAATATGCTTCTGCACTTTATTATTCAATTTACTAGCTCTATGGAAGATGGAATCTCAAGCAGAACTCACAATATCAATGACCATTTTCCTCAATGACTGCCTTTGTTTTTTGGTCAAATTCTGGAAAATGTCACAATTTTCTTCTTGCAGCAGCTTGAAACCCACAGCTAAGTGATGATTCTCCAGTACTGATGAGTCATTGTACATCAAGGCAAGTTCAGAATCTGCAATAACAATTGCCCGCCAGAACGTTACTAAAGCCTATGCTTCTACAAAATCTTAAGATTTTTTTTTAAATTCATTTTCATTCATAATAAGATTTACAGATAATCTTTTAGAAATAGCCTTCCTGTAGTTCACACTGTATCAAAAGTTACAGAATTAATGACTGAACATCTTAACAGGTCGAGGCAAAGCACATTGAGAAAACCAAAGACAATGCTTTGCAGTGATGCATGTACATGTGCCTTGAGTGGCAAGCTAGAAAAAAACCTGAGAAAGTAATTTTCAGAATACCTTTTCATATCTGCATGCGGTCACTTGGAAAATATTACATACATAACCACACCTCAACTAAAACACACTCTGATGTGTTCTCATGCCTCCATCCAACATGACAACTAAAATTCTATTGTTAGGCAAGTTTCAGCTTTCCAGCACTCAGACCTGGAAATACATAGCTGAGGCTTTGTTGCTAGTCTGCTGCAGCTAGCAGACATCTTGGTTTTCAAATAATTTCTTTCTGCAGTTAGCTAAGACACTCAGATGCCTACCGAACTAGGCCTACAGTCATTAGTCCATGACAACTGGGTATGTTGAGAGGAGGCTCATTAGGATGGTAACAGCTATGCTTCTGGTCTTTTAACGTCATGTGGCTTGAAAATGCACACAGTGGCCTTGCCTGCAGCCTCATACTCAAGGCATGGTCAGTGCCTGATTCTGGTTGTAATGCTGCCTTTGCCAACAGAAGTATTCTTAACTCTGTCACCCCACATGGCTGTGAGAATAATGTACACCTGCACAGCCACGCCTGTGCTAAGGCACACAGATAAGGTCTACATTTGTCTGCTTAGAACTGCTGAACAGACAGCTCTGACAAAAGCAGTTACTAAAACTTTCTGCACAGCTTTAGCTTCTACCCAGGAATACCATGCAGTCAGCTTGCATATACTTTAAGACTTGTAAATAAATGTGTCATAAAAATCCCTAATACTTTTTATGCAATCATACTTGTCATGTGCAATATTAACTTAACATTAACTATTTATTACAGCTGTTCTATCCTAAGTCTAACCACACATCAGTCTATTCTACTTTTTTCCTCTTTATTTCTTTTAAGACAGCTATGTTTTAAAATGCCTCTGTCTCAATGGGAGAGCTCTAAAAGCTCTGGATCTTCAGATTTCATTAATCTCATTATCTATTCTCCTGCTATCTTCCTCTCCTGTCTTGAATAAACCGATCTATTGAATCAGGAAACTCTTCCTCTGTCTTTCCTTATCCCAATGGCAGCAAAACTATAACAGCAGAAGTAGAAAGAAAGCAAGTTTGTAAAATGATCTCTCATCTTTCACAGAACACATACAAAGCTTGCCTACTTATTTTTGTTACAAAGGTGACTTTCCTTTCAAAGCCTTCTGATGAACCACAACTGCAAAACACTCAACATTGTCAAAATACTTTGGATGTGCTGGAGCTACACAGAGCTCAAATGTACTCAGCTTTGAAATAGATGTGAAAACGGAAGAAAGTTCCCCCTTGGTAACCTCTGTAACACATTATAAGCTTCAAGAATATTTTTCTGGAAAGACAGTTACAGTCATCAAATAAGCATCTCTGTTGATGCTAATGCGATTCATTTTTTTTATTCTTTAATAGCATTCAAGAGGGTCAGTTTCTTTGACAATTCTGTAATAGACTTTAAATAGGAAAATAATATTCAGAAAAATCATGATACTAATTATAAAAGAATAAGCCAAAAATACGGCAAATATGTACATACTTTAAATAACTAAGTCTATGATTTTTTTTTAAAATGTATTCTTATACTTCTTAGTGAAATCTTAATACATTTTAAGGTTCACTGGAAAAAAAAAGTAGAGTTTTTTTTTTGATTTGAGAGACCTACATTAGATGGTCTTTTTCTGTCTCTGTCCCTACAGTTTATTCCCTGTACACAGAAAAATTTAAAAGAGACAAAATCCCTTTGTTTCTTCCAGCTTGGCAACAGCTGTTCCAATTAATTAGGTTAGCTGACTGACAAAGGAGCCTCCTCTATCAAAACCTGAACTGAGAAAACCAAGATATTTCTTCTAAGTATCAGCATCAGAATGACTATCTTAGCTGAATTTTAACCATCTGCCTGAAAGTGAAAGCTTTATGTAACACCACTCTCCCTTCAACTAGCCAGTCGTCCCATTTAAACCTGAACAACTCTGTTATTTCCTCATAAAACCTCAGAGACACTAATATATCCTGATACTCAATATCAGATTAAGCAAGCAAAGAAAAACTTTACTTACATATGCCCACTCTTAAAAATTCAGGTATTATACATTGGTTTGTGCCCAAATTTTGATCACTCTCTGCCTATCCTATGTTGCTGAACTGCACTAGTTACCAATAAAGCACAAAAAACCCAAATAGAAATCAAGAGTCAATCCCAATCCTCCTCCATGCAGATGAGTCATCAAATTCGATTTCATTATAGGGTGGCCCTCAGGCCATTAAGACAAACAAAACTGGATGAAGACTAAACTGGAATGAACATCTTTGAATACACAGCAGCAATGAGCCAGAGGAGGAGCTCCCTTCTTAAAACTGTACTGCTGATTTGGGGTCATTCTATTTTAGCACCAGTGCAATATATATATACACTCATGTGCAAAATATCTATAAATGTGCAACCAAATGGGTAAAAGACACAAACCTAGGTATGTTTCCATTTCTGTTGCTTTTTCTTCTTCTATGCTTGGACTGTTATCATTATTTCAACTCTAAACTTCTGGGTCAGTTATCATAAAAGAAGTTCAGACAGCAAAAGAAATAGCAGTATGATGTACTGACCTATGAAGTACTACACACTGATGATAGTGACATATGCCAATGAAATCAAAGCAGGTTACACTGGGGCAACAAGCCGTTCAGTAAATGTGTCACAATCAGGTTCAAAGAAGCTAACAGTGTCTTTCAGTAGAAGACTAAAAAGTGGAGAGTGGTTCAGCAATGCTGCAGACAACAGCCTTGAGAAATGCAGAACAAGTACGCTGGGTTTCAAATTTGTAGATGACATTAGGGTCAAAAAAAGAACAAACAGATTTGCCAGAGTCTTCAGGAACAGGCTGAGAAAATTCAGTCCACTATGCATGAGAGATGAAAAGCCAAGTACAGCATCCAAGCAGAGAGAGAGATAGGCCTGACAGTTAGTTTGCAAAAAAGAAACCTGTTTTCTGAATTTCTGTTATTGGTCATATGATATGCTTCCAATAAAAACAAATAAACTATTGTCTTCCTTTTAAATTTTTTTTTATTTAATCTTCCTTCATTTTTCTCCTACAAGTTTATTCATTTAATGTAAATCAGCTATTTTCTGGGAGAGACCACATCCAATAAATTGAAAGAATGCCAGGTTTATAGTTCTTAGTAAGTCTTGCTAGAGGGTACTATGTAAAGTATTTCTAAAGTTACAAGAAATGCAAAATAACATCCAGTTTAAAATACAAATACCTGTCTATTTACTGAGAAAAGTTACAGATAGAAGCAAACAAGGAACGAACTGTATATTTTTCAGGTGCTATGTAGCAGATCTTGCAGCAAATTTCTGAAAAAAACACCGAACATCAGACTTACTTGTGTTGATAAGAAACTGGTTTGAAACCCCAGGATGATCTACATCATGTATGGCACTGGCAAAAATTGCTGCAAGAATTTCCAAATCAGTGAACACTGCCTAGAAAATCACGAAACAGAAATGACAATCACTAATCAGTGAGAAAGGGTTTTCAATAAAAAGGACCCTACTTTGAATCTAGATCAGAACAAGCAAAAAAAATCTGAAATACACTACCAGCTCTAGAGACTTTATACATATGCTATCACAACCTTTTGTAAAATCATCAAATATGTACAATCTCATAAATATTTTGAGTTTCACTGAAGTAATGATCTGTATTTCATACTGAAAGCATCACTAAATTCTGTCACAACTGAAGTATTTCCAGCTTCAGTCTGTAAATAAATCCACTTTTATTAGACAATTAAGGACAGTTTTCTAACTTACAGAACAAATTGAAGTTAAATATTTCAGCTTGACTCCTATGTATTGTCCTGTACTTGAAATATGCACATCTCCTACATGATGCTAAAGAAAATGGTGACAGCCTACAAGACATCTTACTTAACAGTTAGTGATCTTTCCATTTTCATGAGATTATTAGGAAGATAGGAAGAGAGCACTGAAACGGACTTGGAATGTCAGTGAGCCCAGTCTCCTGTTGTCAGAAGCACCCACATTATATAACTGCTTTCATAAATGATCAAGAACAGCTCAGGAGTGTGTAGAGCAGCAGTGGCACCGGGCAGACATCGCCATTTTACCAGCTAAAGCTCTGCTGAAAAAAAGGCCATGAGGAAAAAAACCTGATGTAGAAAAAAACCCCCAAAATGTTACTAATGACTAGTCCAGCTGTTTGGTGAAGCCAGTGGTGTTTTAAGAACATTATCGATCTTCCTTCTCATGAGCAAGAAAATTCCCAAGTCTCTGAGGATCAAAACCTTCCAACAGTCTTAATGTCCATTTATAACCCTCTTTTTAAGAAGAAAGTAGATGTATCAGTAACATGAAAGACTGGTCATTATGAAAAACAGACAAAACACAGACAAAACATTCTTGAAAATGAAGGCAAATCTTTTTGAATTACTAAAACCTCAACAGCTTGCTTTACCTGCCTTTTCCCAACAGTATGATAGAATATATCGATGTTTGCTATAGTAAGATCTGAACTGTACTTAAAAAAGAGAAAATCTCCCTTTTGTCCAACTTCAGAGATTTAAGAACTTTCAACAAGAGAATTACTATGAGAAGAACATATGATTTTTTCTAAACAATTTAAAAATATTTAAGGAAAGAAAAAAAAGAGATAGTCTAGTGAAAATTTAGTATATGTTCCAATCTGCCTTAGAAACAAATAAAAAATTAGTCTTTTAGGACCAGAATAAATACGCAAAAGTAAAAAATACCCTGAAAAATAAACAAAAACCCCAAAAAGGCCCTACTGAGGAAACCCTATTTTATCACTATCTTTCCTAAGCAATTCCACTCACTGTGGTTAGTGAGAATCCCACATGGGCAATAATGATAGAACAGAATGCAGTATTAATAATGTGATGGTGGAAACAAGATATGCGTTGTGTTACAATGAAAAAGGTTATGACAGCACAAATCTGCATGATTTAAAAGAAAAATATGTGATGTTTTTTGACCAATATTTACATGTAAATAAACTTTGATCCTCACAAAGTATCTTTAAAAAAAAAAAGATACTCATGGAAGAAATGTTAAGATTTCTTTTAAAAATATGGCCAAAACTAAGATTTGGTTTAGAAGACTCTCAGGATGTTCTCTTCTCTCATGACTACCACTTTTCCTCCTCAGTGTAGTTTACCTCTAACGCTGGGGTTGATAGCAGCACATGGGTTGACTGAACAACATCTGCAGCATGTATGTTATTGTGATATGCCACATCTGCATGGTAATGGTCTTCAAGGGTCATCAAGTAAGTTATTAAAGTATCTACTGGAATCTTAAAAGTTTTTAACAAGTCCCGTTCCTTTAAAAGCAAAAGAAAAACAATTAGATTACAAAGCACAGAAAAATCTCCAAGACAAGCAAAAACCCTACTTGCTCCTACTTGCCTGAAAAATAGTGTGCATGATGACAGTCAAAGGTCTGTTTCCAGATAACTCTGCTACTCTGAAAACCTGAAGGCCCCACTTGTTCACATCTTCTAGTTCCTAGAGTAGAATCAAGCAATAAACAGGTCAAACAACCTAACACACAAATTCCAGCAATTTTTAACTGAAACAATTGCAAACAATATTCATGAAGATTCAAACCTTCCACCGAGAAAGTTACATGCTAAACTTCGGAATGGCTAAACTCTGGTGCTGCTACTAATCTTGAAACTGGAATTTGTATCTAGCAACTTTTCAGATTTTAATTCCCTAAGTAGGAAAGAGTGCCAGAGGGAAACATACTATAGTGTCTTGAATGAGTTTAACCAACACACTTTGCTATCTCATTGCCCACTGACAACAACGTTCAGTGAGGAGAAAACCTCCAGAGATGCTACAATTCTGCTGCTCTCTCCTCAGAAACACTCTTCAAATAAGATTCCTGAAAATGTAAGGATAGGCATATTTTAAAATGCAAAACTCAATAAAAAAATGCCTTCATACCAATTTTCTGTTATTGCCAAGTAGTTAGCTGCTCATGCAAAAACATCATAGGAAATTTCACTAAAAAAAAACCACTAAGGATGTACATAAAATGATACAACTAAAAATAGGAAGGATAGCTCTAGTGCTATATACCAGTTGTGCATATTTAAAAATTAGGGTGGTTGTATATTTTCATTCCTGTGACAGTACATGGTATATTTGCTTTTCATTTTTCAGATACTATTTACAAATAAGCAGCTTTATTAATGCATACACAAATGCTAATTTACATTCCATCTCCAGATGAAATCCTGTTCGTGCTGAAATTAACCCTTATGGCTTGATTCTAATTTTACTTGCTATTCTTCCACTTCAGCAAATTTGGATTATTTCAAGTGAGACCAGCACTTGGTGCTACAGTTTGAAATCAATGTTTATAAGCAGAGGATGGAATAAGACTGACAAGTCCATGCTCTCTTTTAATTCAATGGTTTAGATTCAAGAATTTATATATTCTCTACCTTGGCAAGGACATCTTCTTGGTCTGTTTTAACTCCAAATCTGGGAATACTGGAATTAGTTAGGCTAGAGCTGTGCATGAGTTTTTTGACTCCACTGATCTGGGACATCGGCCTCTTCTTTTTCTCTTTCTCTTTCTGTGTTGGAGAAGGGATTTCAACTTCATGTTGTTTGTCTTCAAAAGAATTAATAAAAAGATAATTATTAAAAAAATTACAATTATTATAAAATTCACTGTTGAGTTGCATTGTATGGATATTGTAACTCTTTACAAAACCTTTTTAATGTTAGAAGATTTTGCAACAGATACTTTATATCAAGAGTGGTGAAAACATGAAAAGATAAACATAGACCTATACTTCATTACAAGCAGATCTCTATTACTCAAATTGCCTTATTATTTCTGGACTGGCTTTAAAAGGAACTTGTCTCTGTCTGATTACAACTTCTCCCGCACCCCTCATGCTGTAAAAAGGGTCAATCTTTTAGTTTTAAAAGTGTTAACAGGAATCCATTTTGCAAGAAAATTTAATTTTTTTTTCTTTTCCAGGAAAAATACTCTCTGAAATTGTGTTTCAAAAACAATCCAAACAGTGTCTTCATGCAAATCTTTAAAAACTTTTTCAGGATTCAAAGGACCTAATATTTGGGGACTGGTCCTGTCTACTAAGGACCACAGGACTTAGTAACTTGGAAAGCCTTTTGTCAGCCACATCTACTGCACTTTGTAGAGGCAGTTCATGTCAGCAGCGCAGTGTGTTTCTGCACCTCCAAACCAGAGTCAATAACGACAACAAAACAACAGCTTTGCTAAAACCCTGATTTTTTTGATGGGCTTTTGCCTCTATAGCAGTATCAGTAGCATCTCTTCATATAACTCATCAACATATGTGCCAGCGAAACTTTAGACAAGGATTAAACTGAGAGTAAAGCATATTTGCAAGATAATTGCTGTAGACAAAGCATGGGGTTGTGGAGCATTGAAGACATCTGTGGTCCCTGAAAAAACCCAAGTTAGTTCAACAAAGGACTCTCTTGCCAAAACAGTTAGGAACTTGCATTATTTTTTTGTTCCTTTTATTCATACTGTATTTCAATGTAGACTTCTAATTATTCCCTTTAAATGTACCTGAAATGTTGAAATGTACCTCCACCTATTCTAGCCCTTAAGGAACATACCAGTAAAACCAGGAAAATCCAGAAAAGATGTTTTTAACACAGGAGGTGAGCCAAAACAAATTTAAAAAAACCTTAAATTTTAAAAATGAAAATAAGAAAATTTGGGTTTTTTAAAATATGTCTTTTTTTTTTTCCTGCAATATTCATTTTCACTATAGAGTTTGAAACCAGATGAGGTCAGCAAGTCTCTTTCTAGTTACCAGCTTGTTAAGTGTTTGCTTCTTCACTTTTCTTCCTCTTTTTTTTTAATTACCCTTTAGCAGCCACATTTAATAGACATCTCACAGAAATGTCACCAAGTTTTAACCTGCAGCTCCAAGTTACCTGATTGCCCCGATTCTTCACCATTCTCCTCATATGGAGAAAAGGGGAGGTGCAGCACTGCAGCCTTTGGTACAAACTAACAACAGATGAGGAGCAGTGACTCGTGTTTGTGCTTTGATGTTTATGGTTTTGGTCATATGCACAAAAGTTTAGACCCATCTAAGAAAAATGCATAAGCTGAGCTGTCAGACTAACTCAAGTGGAAGGAAGTGTCTGTCTGAATGACTTCAGATCTCCAGAGAAATTAGACAGAAATTTTGCTTTTTTAACTGTGAGCACATGGGGCTGTACCCATCTGAACAACCAGAGAAGACAGCTTGCCATTTTGACCCTGTTTGTGCTATGCTCAATGACAGGTTCTCAAACATTTTCCATTCATAGAAAACAGGTTAATGATGCTGCAAAAGAAAAACCTCACATATTATTATAAGCAATGTAGGAGCCTTAATTCTTACACATAGAATGTATTTGTTGCCATTATAAATAGCTTCACACATGTCATTTAGCCCTATGGGAAACAGACCCTTTTTTTAAAGTATAAGAAGAACAGAAAATACTGTTTTCTCATGACACATTCCTAACTTACAAATGTGAGAAAGTCTGTAGATGTTCAGGAAATAGATTATATATTAAAAAAAAAATTAGACAATAACTAATAAGTAGAGTTACTAGTCTGTATTTAATGCATCTAATAACTAGAATGATTAAATTTTTCTATGGAGAGAATGTTTTCCCTCTTTACATAGTTGCTCACAACCTATATACTTAGACTGCATATTTTGAAAATACTCTATTTAAGCAATACATCTGTAAATGAGGTGTTTCCACCATTGTATTGCTCTTAGGTCTACATTTTTAAGTATCCAAGTTTTTCATGAAGACGCAAAACAGTCCCCATGGCTCAGTAACTTAGAAGTGATTGCCTTTCCAGCCCTCTTGCTGCTCAGGAGCTCATGCGAAAGGCTGCCAGATGCATTTCCTTACCCTGTCAAAGTAAGTCTTAAGTTTTCAAGTAAAAGCAAGCAGAAGCTGGCATCTCAGTCTTTTCAACCTAAGTGGATCATCCTCTCAGGCAACTGTACAATGTGACTTTCAGGTCTTCTGAAGCTGGGCAGTATTGCCTCTTCTCCATGACAAAGGCTCATCCCCCTCTCACTATCTGTAACCCTGCTGTGCCGCAGCTCTCAGCTCTCGGCCACTCCTGCAACTGTGGGCCAACTGAACAGACACTAAGCAATTAATTTAGGACATGGTGAGAGGATAAAATGTACTTTAAAAAACCCCGCTTCTTTAAAAAAAAAACCAAACATGAAAAGCATCAGCTATTGTATCTCACACAGAACAAGATGGATCTTAACACACAGGACTGGCACTTTGTAAAGGACTTGTTATCCTGATTGGGATGTATTCAGCTGCGCCTCTCCTTATATGCACAGCCTTTATGAATAAATGGTGTTTTGCTCAAAGCATGTTTGAGATTGGTGTAGTATCTTTATCTTCATATTCAAAATCAACACCATGGAATGAAGTTTTATTGATTTTCATGAATTTTAGGAAAGAAAAAAAAAACATAGAGGAGGAACCACACTCTGTAATATTGCGCTGGGCTTTTGTTAATGCTCACATCCCACCAGATCAGGCTCTTCAGCTGCACAAATTTTCCCAGCAAAAGTTTGTTTAGATGCTGACTTAATTATTCATCTACCCACACACGTGCAGGCAGGGAATACCAAAGTATCTTAACTGCATGCTATGAGGTTTTGTGAGGTTATTTGTTCTTGCATGCTTCTAGCACACTGAAACCTCTCTGCAATTCCTGTAAGGAAAATATAGGGGAAGACTTCTTTTTAACATATAATTAATTCATTATGTATTACTTTCTTAATACGGTAGCAATATAGTAGTTGTAATGTTACAGGAAAATATATATATGAATATTTATCTGTAATTACATACACAGGGAAATTACATACACACACTGACTGAGCTGTGAGGAAATGGATCTAAACTGATTTCTCTGCACAAACACTGAACAATGAGATGCTAAATGCACAGTTTCTGAAAGCAGAAATTAATATGTAAGGCCACTTGCTTTTAAGCTCTAAAACAGCCCAGAGAGATATAAAAAACATCCACAAGGCAAAAAAGTTAACTCTTCATAGTCTTACCTAAGAATGTGTTTGATATATATTCTGAGACCTGATTGCCTGACCTGCTCATTTCAGATAGGTGGGTTAGCTCCCGGTTGAGCATTCTTTTAAACTGGAAAACAAAACAAAAAAAAGCATAAAGTCAGTGATTAAGATGTAGGTTAGGACAAGAAAATGCAATCAATTTATAACTGGGGAAAGGACATGATGTCATGAATATATACTACAGTAAGATAACTCTGAAAGTAGAAATCCATGTAACGTCGCTATACCTACCAACTTATTCATGGGTTGGAAAACATCAATCATAATTCTTAACCTCCTAAAATGCACCACAGGGATTCAATGTCCTACTAGTAACTGAAAACTCTAAGACATACGTATACACACAAATAATGTTATTGTCTTTCCAATTTTTTTATTTTCATTTCAAAACTAAATACAAAGGTATTTACCTGTTCGCTACCAGCTTTCTCATCATATTTGTAAATTAATCTATTTTTTGCATTTTTTTTGCAATTCATGTGGTAATATTTCAGTTTTATCTTACCTCTCCTCATTAATCTACTCAAACGTACTTGACAGCATTGCTCAAAACAACCAAAATATCATACTGATTTCCTACAAGCCAATGTGTTTCTTACAAGCCAATAGGTAATGTTGTCTCTGACCTAAAATTATTATACCTGATCACCCCAATGATTTGACTTCAGAAAACTATATTCATCTCTATGAAACACTGGCGTAGAAAATACCCACCTGTGGAAACACCTTCCACTTCCCTCTAAGTTAGCAATTCACTCTAGGCACTTCATAGGGTAGAAGTGGACACTAATATTCCAGGAAATGTATAATTGATTAAGTACTCATCACTGAGCCTCTCTTGGTTCCTTTTAGACTCCAGGGTGAAATGATATACTGTGTCATTATGCTTGACAGGTTAATAGCATAATACAGCTCTTCCTGTCTTAGATGCATTTTCACTGACTATAGCTCTGCGCTGATATAGCCAACAAAGAGAACTCAGCAATACTATTAACAATTGCAACAACTCTTGCCAGTGCAAATTAGCATGCATCTGTCACTACTAAATTTTGCCACATATTGTGCCACCCTTTCATTTTGTTGTTAGATTTCTTGGTCATCTTTTTTCTTAACAAAGGCAAATGATTTGTGCCATTTTCAGAATAATCTTTCACCTTGTTCAGCCAGTTATGAATATTTATTACATCAAGCAATAACTATCCTTAGTATATATACCTTAAAACATTCACCTATGTTGAAAACTGGTAATTTATAATTTATTCTTCTTCAAAGCAGATAAAACCACTGGAGTAAACATCAACCACTGCCTTTCCATTCTACTGGAATTATCAAAGCCCTCTCTTCAAAGAGGCCTTGCATAATGAAAGGTGTTATTTTCTTCAAAATATCTTTGTAAGTCACCAATTACTGCATTGCTCACACTGTACGAAATAAAAATTACCTTTAATATAACACTCTAAACATTAGCCACTGCGTTTTCCTGCCATCTTGACATGCCATCAGCTCAGGAAGTTCCAGAGCCACAAAGACTGAATCCTGCTTTAGTCACAAGCCAAAGGCTCAGCTTTGATCTCAGATACAGTTGTGTGCTAGCAAGTGCTCAACACATGTCTGAAAATTAGGACCATACTGCAAATACAACTACACACACTGTGAGCTACAGACCTATACATTCTGGACAAAAACAGTGTCAGCCTCTTTAGCGATGTTTAATGTTTGTCACCAATGTCAAATGTTGAAAAAAGAAGCCAACTTTGCCAAGCAGTAAAATGACTGGTCCAAAAATCCTAAGACCATTTTTAAAAGTCTATCTTTAAACTTTTAATACACTTAAGTCATGCTTGCACACTTTATCTTCTGTTCTCATAAAGGTGAGAAATGGAATTGAGGCAAAAACTGAAGATCTCATGGATTAGCTTGTCTCCAGATGGCATTCAGAAACTGCAGCTTCAGTATTTATTGTACAGTTGTGTGCTAGCAACTGGAAGGTACGTAACAGTCTTTTCTAATGCTGTGTTCCCCATTAGTTTGACACAAACCCTCATCTTCCCACCTTCCATCACCCTACAAGTCAGTAGAACATAAAAGCTCAATCATCTGCATGAGAACTGCAGAACAGTCTATGCTACTGCTGAACGTGGGTGTACAGTAAAATAAGTCCCTCAGCTTCTGCAAGGCCCTCCTGCTAAGAGCAAATTCAACTGGAGAAGCCTTTGGCTTTGAAGAGCTGTAGCTGTGTGATTTCCTCATAGTCTTTTTCATATATTACTGACACCACAGCAACAAAACTTTGACATTTTTTTGCAATCTTCTGGACTAAGCAAAAGTTTAGAGAACTGTTCTGATTTTCGCATTATATGACAAAGCCTTACAACCCTCATCACCACTAGATCAGATAAAGTTGAAGACCATATGCAGACCACAGTTCCTGATGCAGAACAATAATGGGTCTTTGAGAACATTACAAAACCGGAAAACCAAACCAAAACCATAAGAGATAAACAGTGATCAAGATATTCGGGTATTTTTATTCCTTATACCCTGTTTCAGTATATCTATATATTACTTAATCCTCTGATTAATAACTTGCCTTTTAGCAAAAAAAAAAAAATGCTCTTTCTAAGAAAAAAAACCCCCAAACACAAATCTCCCACTTTTTCCTGATTTTACCTATTTCTCAAAGATTTCATTGGGCCCATGTGCACCCATACATAGTTGCTCCTTCAATGATCCACATATTTATACAGCCCTGCACAATTACTTTATAATAAAATTCTGCCTCTGACATGGTTCCCACAAAATCCTATTGCCAGTCAGAGAAGTTTGTTACATCCATGAGCCAACACTTTTTCAGTCATCCAGCAGACACCCCTAGGTGCTTGAAAAAAGCACTTCATACTCATCATTTGTATTCCTGGAAACAACACTTTCCTGGAAACAACAACAAAACAATTCAAACAAGACATGAAACCATCTTTTCCCCAATAGTGGTAAATCTTAAGGATAATATCTTAAATAAGAATTTTAAAAATCTGAATGCCATCTACTTTCCCAGTTGATGAAAATAAATCAGAGTGATCAAAGCTCTTGTTATGAATAAACATATACACCATGCACTTTAATTATGATATTGTCAGCTCAGCAAGGGGAAGAAGCAGAGGTTTTTGACTGATCTATGCATATACTGTATTCTTCTTCAGACAGAGAGATTTTCCCACCTTAAGACTAGGCATTGTTAGATTTGAAAAATTACATCCTTTTGGAATATCACACTCCTTGACTATAGTCTTACAAATTCCCCCTAGAAATGGAGATACGCAGATATAAAACGTGCATTAATATACAGTTCTGCACTGCTGAATACTGATGTCACAGCAAAAAAGCCATAAAAATTGTCTAAAATATCCTAAAAATATTCTCTTAAGCAGAATTTGTAAAATTTCATTTGTTTCTATTGATTTTAGTGATTTTTATCTCGGCTGAGGTGTGTGGTGGGGGAGAGAGGATAAGAAGGTGCAGAACCCTCAACACAAATACAGACAGAGCATTCAAATAACTTTACAAGTCTCTCCAAAGTGACAGAAGTACATATGCAATTTTATCTCCATTTAAAAACCTAGGAAGTCTGTTGGAGTGAAAACTAATACATGACAATAGAAGTGCACACATTGATGATAATGGACTGAGAACAATATCCCAAATAGTGTTAACCTCCTAAGAACAGGTTTGTTGCTTAGGTCCTTCTGAGCTGAAGCCCAGTGTGTGCGTATCTCTGCTTATATATATTACTGCTGTCAACCTAGGATAAATATACATTTTTTTGGAGAAGATAAGGTACTTTTCTGATGGCAGCAAAGACACATAGAAAAAAAAAAAGACAAATATTTGCAGTAACCATTTTCCCATATGGCAGCAAGAGCACTGATACATTTTTGGGAAGACTTCGCATGTATAGTATAAAGAAATTATCAATTCAAAGATCTAACTAGAGTCAATACATGGTCATGAAAGAGTTTGGGCTGCATGCTTAATATACACAGGGTTATTGTTTACACATAAGAACATTTTACAAATTTTGTATAAAGTTCTTGACTCAATAACAAAAAGCTTAAGTCAAACAATCAGCCAGCAGTTAGGTGTATTGAGAAAGGAAGCACAAAGAACCACTCTCAGGGCAGATACCCTGTTCTGGTATTGTCTTTTCCATGCAGGCCTTCTGTTCCTCAAGAGAAACCTGCACCATCCGAAGGACTGTAAGAGGCTGTCACCACCACAGCCTATGGCACCAGTACTGAAGGCGAAGCTAGGGCTAACTAGGCAGTCCATGGACCAAAAAGCTCCATCTTGTCCTTCAGTTTCAGCATTAATCAAGCTCCAACTCCAGTGAAGGCTGAAACAAAAGTGGTCAAGGGCAACTGAAGACTTTCACTGCACTGGTTCCCAAATCCACATGGCAACAGATCCCAGTTTCAACCTTTCTGGCTGCCTCTTTTCTAGGTAACATTTGTAAAAGCTTACATGAATAGAATACATCCATGAAACATTCATTCAATATTTGGAACATTCAACTTATATGACTGTATTTTGTTTCTGAAACAAATTTTTTTTAAAAGACGTTTAACTCAAAAAAGAATAAACTATACTATTTTACTGGACTTAAAAAGTCTTGTATTCTACAATAAAACAAACAAGGAATTCAAAATAGGTCAGCTTTACCAATTAATCTAAGGCTTCTGTCTATATTGCTTATCAATGCAAAATTATCTTGGATTTTAGCAGTATTCCTAATACATAAACAAAATTCTTAATAGGTACAGATTTGCGTTAAAGCACTTCATGTGTTTAACTAATATGAAGGTCAGACACTAGTTTTTATACGTAAGCTATGAGAGGCTAGCATTAGGATAATATCACTATCAAGAAAAAATACTCAACAAAAACAGAGGACAAATACTCCATATGACAAGCATTATCTGAAATAAAATTCACAGGAGATAAAAGTACAGCCTGAAGCATACGGAAATATATGTATAATAAGGGATGTAAACATGTACAATGATCTCTGAG